ATTGAGGTTATTAGCCAGTTACTTTGTAGCTACACGCAGTCATTTTATCAGGTGCTCCTTCTACACAGACACACTTTGTAGGTATATAGTTATACAGTCAGAAAGTAAGTCAGGGGTGTAGCTAGAACTTTTAGAGTTACTGGGGTGATGCTAGGAAAGTCAAGTAAATTAAATGCAGAACTTTCTTCGCTGCGTAACGTTAACTTGAAGCAAAGTGTTTCATACAGACAGACCAGAAGTTTATTTATTTTAGTTGCATCAACGAATCTATTAGACTGATTAGTTGAAGCTCAGATGACACACAACACATGAATGTATAGGGTGATTCAAAAAGATTCATCTGATTTCAAAATGATTGATTTTCACTTGTAAATCGTTACAGATCAATGCAGTAAACTGTAAATGGTTTAAATGAGCATAAAGTTTATTATGTAATTGTACAAGGTCTCAGTATGAACCTCCTCCAGCTGTACAGACAACATCAACACCACAGTCAAACTCATCCCATACTGGATTGAGCATGTCGGGTGTCTCTGCACTCACGGCTCTTTCAGTGCGATTTCGGAGATCATCCAGTGTTGTGGAACCAACGGCGAACGCTCTGAGCTGTTGGAGCTTCACTGCTAATGAAAATCACGCTGCAGTTATGACGGATTCACTCTTATTGAAGTGGAGAACGCAGAACGCTTTCTGCTCAGGGGTCTCATCTCCTCTCAGACTGAAGGGAACCATCTTCCACTGACAGCCAGAAACGCTGACCCCCTCTTACAATTGGAATGTGATTGGTTCCTAGGCGCCTCACGGTTGGAAAAATATGGCGCTTTGAAATCAGATCAATCTTTTTGAATCACCCTGTATTCAACTAGTTAGCATGCTTAGTGATTACTGCAGACCAACTGTTGACAGTTAACTCATCTTACCATCAAATATCCGACTTCATAATGTAGCTCACAGAGCAGCACAGCTAAAGGCCTCGGCGCACATTCACTCACCTGTTTACTGAGTAAATTAGCCAATCACAGCAAATTATGCTAATTATTACATTTAGCGTCATCAGACTCTCATAACTGACTGGTAATGACCCAGATGGCAGGTTTCCATATACCACAGTTGGTGCTTTACTAATGATGGCTGACTGTCTCAATTTACATAACTTGGGTGGCCAGAAAGGCAGCCACCCTTCATTATAGGGTGGAACTGGCCACTCTGGCCACCCATTGGCTACACCTCTTTTAAATACACAAAGTTTTTCAACATATTCAGATACACAGATATCAGGTCCTCCATATAAAGGTGATATGATTTAATAAGAGACACTAAGAACAACATTTTTGCCATCTTTTATGTAATAAATCATAATAAATAAAATAGAAATAAATCCTAGAATCACAGAAATAAACAGTAACGAAATTTTCTTATGTGGGGAAAAGTAAGCACACCCCTACATATATCACTCCTTCAAATGCATCCACTTCAAATCAGGCGCACCTGATCAGGCGCAAATGCTTACAACGCCGTTAGAGAACATCTTGAAGGAACCCGTCTCATTTCAACATCAGATATCTGCTCTGGTTTGGACTGTGTGGTGTCACCATGCCTAGAGCTCACTGAGGCCTTCAGAAAGAAGGAGGTAGAGTCTGGAAAGGGGTTTAAGAACCTTTCCAAAACACTGGAAATCAATCATTCCAGTTAGTGGAAGTACAAGGTGGGTGTTTCTAATAAAGTGGCCAGAGGGTGGAAGCACAAGGTGGGTGTTTCTAATAAAGTGGCCAGTGAGTGGAAGCACAAGGTGGGTGTTTCTAATAAAATGGCAAGTTAGTGAAAGTACAAAGTGGGTGTTTCTAATAAAGTGGCCAGTGGGTAGAAGCACAAGGTGGGTGTTTCTAATAAAATGGCCAGTTAGTGAAAGTACAAGGTGGGTGTTTCTAATAAAGTGGCCAGTGGGTAGAAGCACAAGGTGGGTGTTTCTAATAAAGTGGCCAGTGAGTGGAAGCACAAGATAACTGTTTCTATTAAAGTGGCCAGTAAGTAGGAGTAGAAGGTGGGTGTTTCACCTCTACACACAATTTTGTTTGGCTAAAGAAATTTTGAGCTCATTCATATAATTAAAATACTCTGTTATCTACAGTGAAACCGAAGAGTTACGTAAATCTTACTGACTCATGGAAACGGTGTTATAAACCCGGTGCAGGAAATTTTAATGCCTCTGTGTGAAATCAGAACAGAAAAACTACCAGAGCAGTCATAAGCAACCGGTTTGTGAGTAAAGACACTGACCTCCTCCGTTTGGTCATTCATTAGTCATTCTTCCGGCTCAGCGAGTTAAACAATATACGCAAATCTGACGTGATGTTTTCAGCTGAGTTTGTAAATAAAAAAGGAGTGGATCAGACACTTTTTAAACACTGTGTCCACTCACTGTCCACTCTATTAGACACTCCTAACTTGTCGGTCCACCTTGTAGATGTAAAGTCAGAGACGATAGCTCATCTGCTGCTGCACAGTTTGTGTTGGTCATCCTCTAGTACTTCATCAGTGGTCACAGGACGCTGCCCACAGGACGCTGTTGGCTGGATATTTTTGGTTGGTGGACTATTCTCAGTCCAGCAGTGACACTGAGGTGTTTAAAACTCCAGCAGCACTGCTGTGTCTGATCCACACTGATTACACTATTATTGGGATTATACTATAATAGTGACATAAAATGGATAAAGTAGACCCCGCCCACTTTCCCAAACCTACAAACTCATCAAATCTACATGATTCAGGTGAAGCTTATATTCAGTGGCTTTGAACACCACCCACACTGCCCCGGGGTTAAACTGAGCTGGAACCATCAACAACACACTCTGGAGCACTCCAGGTAAGATAGAAGGGAAAATATTCCACCACCATCCAGAGTTCACTCATTTAGAGAGAGAGAGAGAGAGAGAGAGAGAGAGAGAGAGAGAGAGAGAGAGAGAAGACGAAAGACAGAACAGCAGAAGAGAGAGGGGGAAGATAGAAAGAGCAAGAGAGAGAAAAAGGGGAAAAGAGAGAGAGAGAGAGAGAGAGAGAGAGAGAGAGAGAACAGAGAGAGAGACGAGGGAAAGAGAGAGAGAGAGAGAGAGAGAGAGAGAGACGAAGGGAAAGAGAGAGAGAGAGACGAGGGAAAGAGAGAAAGAGGAAAGAAAACTGAAAGGAGAGAAAAAACAGTGAGAAAGAGGAAAGACAAAAGAAAATAGAAGTGAGAGAGAGAGAGAGAGAGAGAGAGAGAGAGAGACAATTTTACACAAACAATTTTAGAAAGTTGATCCCAAATGTCAAAAAATGTACACAAATAATGATAAATATGTAACAGCACCCCCCCCCCATGCCCACCCTAGTGACCGCCACCCTCTCCATACCCCCAACCTTCTGACCACCACCCCACATACCCCCAACACTACACATATGAAAAAATGTTATCAAATTTGTATAATTAATAATTATATAATAAATTATTAATTGGGGCAGTCATGGACTGGAGGTTAGGGAACCAGCCTTGTGACCGGAAGGTCGCTGGTTTGATCCCCTAAGCCAACAGTTCGTGACTGAAGTGCCCTCGAGCACCTAACCCCTAACTGCTCCACGGGCGCTGTGGATAGGGCTGCCCACCGCTCCGGACAAGTGTTCTCACTGCCCCCAGTGTGTGTGTTCACTAGTGTATGTGTGGTGTTTCACTGCATGGGTTAAATGCGGAGGTTGTTGGACCAATAAGGGTCACTTAAATTCTACCTTTTATAATACAGTGAACAGTGTTATTATTATTATTATTATTATTATTATTATTATTATTATATGTTCATGATGTTGTTGTCATTGTTGTCACTGGTATAATGCTTTGAAATACTGGACCTTACAGTCATATCAATAAAGCCACATTGAACTTGACCTTGAAGTTGAAATGTCCACTAATGAATGACGTCAGAGAGGTGACCCACAAACCCACTAACACACCTCACACATGCGTCCCAGAACACAGTTTCCTCTGATTACTGTAAAACACACAGTTTATCACAGCTCAGCATGCAAACACACACACACACACACACACACACACACTGGATCAAACGCCCTGTTCAGTCTAAAACAGATTAAAACAGAATAAAAGTCTCTTTGCCAGTTTAATGTGAAGATGAAGCTGAAACTGCCTTTATGAATGAGCTGAAATTGAAGCCCAACACTCTGAGGAGGAAGAACACCACCATCTACAGGACAACCGAGGAACTGCAGCTGGGCCTATATCACTTAAATGGGAAATCCACTACTTTTTAAAAACAATCCTGCATAATTAAGTGGTTAAGATGTAAACAGAGTCGTTCAGAGTGGTTTGGTGTGAAACGCTCTGTTCTAGAGAAACTTACTGAGTCAGAATTGTTCACAGTGGTGGTGATAGGAACCAGACGTCCACCTCTAAAAGCTCCCTCACAGAAAGTTACTACATGAGATGGTTATGAATTCACTGCCTGATGACTGTGCTTTACGGTAGGCTTAAGATTTCAGCCTACGCATCTTTTTAATACCCATCCATGGCGGTGAGGGCATTCTAATGACTCTCTGATTGACTGTTCACATCTCAACCACTGAATTATGCAGAAATTTTGAAAAATTGGTGGAAATCCCCTCTCAGATGTATGTAAATGGGCTCTGCTCTGATTGGTTGCCCTGTATTGTGCCTCATTCTAACAGCAGCCTGTGCTGAAAACATCCTGATAATTTCGGAGTGAATGGGCGGGGCTAAACAAAAAAAAAAAAATACATCACAAAAGCGATGAACTCTAAACAGGCAGTGTTTGTGGTTTAGCTGTCATATCTGGACCGTACTGACCGGTGAGTGACCAGTAGCTTTGAAACTTCTAACAGTGAACTGCATCATAATGGAGACTCCAGTTTTCCACGATTCAGATCCTTTAAATCATCCTGACTTGATCTGATGTGTTGGCGTATTAATCAGAGTAATGAGTGAGAGCGCCCCCTACCTGTCTGTACGTGCAGATGATGATCTCTCTGAGGTGGTAATGCATCGGCGTCATGGTCTCACTGACCGAGTCCAGAGCCATGTCCACCTCTCTCTTCATCCTGTGACCGTCAGGGAGAATCCTGACCAGCTTCATCACCACCTACAGAGAGAGAGAAAGAAAGAGAGAGAGAGAGAGAGAGGGGAGAGAAACAGACAGAGAGAGAGAGAGAGCGAGCGAGACAGATAAAGAAAGAAAAAGAAAAAAGAGAAAAAGAGAAAAGAAGGAAAGAGCAGGAGCATGAGAAAGAGCACAAGAAAGAAAAAAATGAGAGAGGAAGAGAGAAAACAAGAGCAAAAAAAGTAGAAAAATAAAGTAGGAAAGACAGAAAGAAGGAGAGAAAGAAAGAGAAAGAAAAAAGAGAAAGAAAGAAAGAAAAAAGAGAAAGAAAGAAAAAGAAACAAACAAACAAACAAACAAAAAGGAGGAGAGCAAGAAAGCAAGAAAGATAGAAAAAGAAAAGAAAGAATGGAAAAAAGAAAGAAAGAAAGAAAGAAAGAAAGAAAGAAAGAAAAAGAAAGAGAAAACAAAAGAAAAAGAAAAGAAAGAAAGAAAAAGAGAAAAGAAAGCATGAAAGAAAAAATAAAAGGAAAAGAAAGGAAAAATAAAAAAGAAAGAAAAGAAAACAAAAAGAAAAGGAAAGAAAAGAAAAAGAAAAGAAAGAAAAGAAAACGAAAAGAAAAAAAGAAAGAAAAGAAAAGAAAAAAAAGAAAAGAAAAAGAAAAAGAAAGAAAAGAACACAAAAAGGGAAAGAAAAGAAAAAGAAAAGAAAGAGTAATATATTAGTAATACACTAATGTTCCTCATTTTCTCTTCACTGTGTCTTGGTGAGGAAGTCTGAGGCGTTTGCTCGTTTGTGATGATGTCACTGAGTCGTTAATGAGAGCAGATCTCCAGTCAGTGCTGTTTAATGAATTAACAGCCTCCCTACTGACACTGCATCACTCAGCTCTGTCTGAACCGGCTACACTGTTCAGTATGAATAATTCCTATATTCATAAGTCAGTCAGGAGAGCGCAGCGCGGTGGGGGCTGAGCTGTCCACGTCCAGAGAGAACTGGATCTCAGAGCAGAGCAGAGCTCCACAGGTGAACAGCAGGGACGAGGGAGAGTTTTATAATAGTCACAAATACATAAAAAAAAGCTCAACCTGTAAATCAGGATTATTCATAAGCAAATTAATTAGTTTCTCTTTACTGTTCTACACAAAGTACAGGGGGTGTCACAACTTCTAAATTCTGGAGGTCCCTGAAAAAAAACTAACGATGTTATGCTGTGTTAAAGAAAAACAGCTGCTCAAATCCAGATTCAGTGAAGCTGATCGTTTATCTGCTTCACCCACAATCAGCTTCTGTCTTTGGTGTTCTTAACTAACTAGAGCTGCAGCTGGGCTGGACGTTAGGGAACCAGCCTTGTGACCGGAAGGTCGGCGGTTCGATCCCTTGAGCCGACAGTACGTGACTGAAGTGCCCTTGATCAAGGCACCTAACCCCCAACTGCTCCCCAGGCGCTGCAGACAGAGCTGCCCACCGCTCCGGGCAAGTGCGCTCACTGCCCCTAGCGCGTGTGTTCACTAGTGTGTATGTGGGGGTTTCACTGCACGGATGGGTTAAATGCGGAGGTCTAATTCCTCTGTGGTCAAGCACAGTTGGCCATTATACATATGTTGAAACAGTCAGACATTCTAAATTATATCGTAATATATTTTTGGCCATACTTTACTAATGTGTAGGTTCACTGGTGGTTTTGGTTATTAAATAAAATGTCTATATTTGTGTTGTAGTCATGGCGACCCCTGGTTCCTATCACCACCACTGTAAAGACATCTGAACCATCTCACACCAAACCACTCTGAATCACTCTGTTTACACCTCACACACAAAAGTAATGTAAAGCCAGAGTGAATCAGATCTGATCGCGCACCCCCCCATATTAGTTTTACATATTTATTTTCACAAAGTTAGTGCTGTTTTCACAGCTTTGGTGTGTAAAGTCTAGAACAGGTCAGTCAGGGTGGTCTCAGGGTGCATTCGTGTGTGTATGTATGAGGTCAGTCTGTGTAACACTGGACTAAATGGGTTAGTGTACTAAATATCACAGCTGGCCTACATAGAGCACTGAACACAGGTCAGTCAGGGCACTGGGCTCAGAGAGTGAGAACGCTATAACCGTATATCCTGAGTAAAGTGTGTCAGAGCCACAAAGCCCCCCCAAGCAGTCCGAGACACAGGACACATGACCCAGGTCACACAAACGGCCAAAGATATTTCTGTCCACTGTCACTCAAACAGAGAGAGTCTGCATTGGACAATACCAGTTCAATCATTTACAATAGTTTAAAATCATGTAAATAGTTCAAACAACATAATAACAGCATAACTCAGTGTGTGAGATGTAAACAGAGTGATTCAGAGTGGTTTGGTGTGAAATGGTTCAGATGTCTTTACAGTGGTGGTGATAGGAACCAGGGGTCGCCATGACTACAACACAAATATAGACATTTTATTTACTATCCAGAACCACCAGTGAACCTACACGAGTCTTCTGAGTTTATATGGAATGTTGATGATGGGAAATAGTGGATAGTGGTTTTCTTTGGGGACTATTTTGCCTCACAACACCCTGCATGTATCCCTCCACCATGAAAGACTTTTTAAAAAATACATTTTCTATACATTTTTTACTAAAGTCTTCTCAAAACTGCCGTAAAACAGTGTCTCAGTCAGGCAGTGAATTCATAACCATTCATGTAGTAACTTTCTGTGGGGGAGCTTTTAGAGGTGGACGTCTGGTTCCTATCACCACCACTGTGAACAATTCTGACTCAGTAAGTTTCTCTAGAATGCAAAACCACTCTGAATGACTCTGTTTACATCATAACCTTTCACTTACGCACAAATTTTGAAGATTTGGTGGAATTCCCTTTTAATGTGGTATAATGAAATGGACAGTTCTGGTTCTAAAAACTGACCGGCTGTGTTGCATTCAAAGTCATTGTAAAATACTCAATATACGCAGACATACAGCCACCTCACAAGACCTGAACTCTCAAGTCAGTAAACATTGTGCTATGAATGAACTAGAACACTTGCATGGATCACCAAGCGTACAGACAGATGAAGACAGAGCCCAGTTTTGTTATGAAAGGCAACTTATTTTCTTAACAATTTGCTAACAGGCTAAATGCCTCCTTCAGTAATACACCTTAAAATAGTATTTATTATAAATAACCTGCAATATAAAAACTAAAAATAAGTTACTTCAGTGTCTTGCACTCCTTAAATGGGTTTCAGCTGCCTTAAATCTGCCTTAAGTAGCATTAACCTTTTAACTGTCGCCCCATTTTATTTACTATCCAGAACCTACACGAGTCTTCTGAGTTTATCTTGTGATAAATCTGAGTTTTAGAGTTATGTCCAATACAATATTCCACAGTAAACATTAGGGGTGGGAATATTTAGGCACCTCACGATTCGATTCGATTACGATTCAGAGGCTGAGATACGATTATAAAATGATTATCGATGCATCTTTTTTCTCTATACATGTTTTCTATCTTCCTACTGTCTGAGGACTCGGTAGTTTTAAAGCAAAGTATTTGTAATGATCCATAATGTAAATGCATTACGGATCATTACAAATACTTTGCTTTAAATATCTAAAATATCTTTTATTAATAAATCAAATGGAAGTGATGTGGCAAGTGAACTAGAAGGCTCTCATTCAGAGACGCTGCTGCCACTCATCTGCGATAAAATGCGCTGTTGCCCTGACAATGGGTGGCAATGGGTGTCCATGCAGCGCGTTACAGCCACCCTTTTGGTCTCGTTGTAGAGAGTGGGGGGGTATTTTTGAGACTGGACGCTGAATCTCGGCTCCAAAGTGTGCAGCATAGCGCGAAAGCCCTGGTTCTCAACGACTGAGGACAGCAGGTCACATAGCCCCGAGGTCTGGCCTCACCAGTAGCGAACGAAAAAACAGATTAAGACGAACATTTGGAGACTTATTCGCATTTATAAGCAGCGCGGGTGGTTAAATCTGCTGAGAGACTGTCTTTCTCTAAAAAGTTGCGAAAATGAACTCGCTTCTCTTTCGAATTTTCCCGTTCCACCTTAAATGGTGCAGCAGTTACATTTGGCACCTAAGGCGGAATTTAAGGTGAAACGGGAAAATTAGAACAAGAAGCTGGCGAATGAGAAGCGACTTCAGCCTCGTAAAACAGCCGGACGCTGAGACATTTTACAAGAAACTCTTCTAGTTTTGAAGAAAGGTGTTCTGGCGGAGATGGGAGGAAAGCGGCTAAAGCTGAAGCTTAAAGCAGAGCGGAGTAAATCTGCGCTCTCGTTTATATGTTTAGCCCATACTAGGACATTAACACACACTGAGACATACTGGGCAGTAAATGTTGCGGCTCCCAAGCTGGTTTGACTTCGCTGAAAGGACAAAATGGCTCTTCTTATCATTTGTGTTGTGACTCCTGATCTAACCTGGCTTTTAATGCAGAGGGAGCCGGTTGAATTTCTCGCTCCTCCAGTAGTGTTTTTGTTATGTGCCCCACAGACTGTCCGGGCGCTGCACTTTCCCACTTCCAAGTTCCGCCTTTTGCGTTCTGTCAACATTACGTTATGAATTAAATATTTAGAAAATCGATTTCTGACGTTGAATGAATCGATTCAGAATCGTTCACGTCCGCATCGCGATGCATCTAAGAATCGAGTTTTTCCCACACCCCTAGTAAACATACACAAAAGGATGAATGTGGTTATTTGAACATATGGATGTGAAACTGATCTTTGTATTAGTTACATGTTTTAGTACATATGAACAACATATGCAACAACAAAGTAATGATGTAGTGATGTAGTAATTACTGTAGTCATTAGTCATTACTACATCTGTAATGATGTAGTCACTGTTACAGATGTATTACAGAAGTGCACCTTATGTTATTATACATGTGTATCAACTTCAGTTTTGCCTCATGTAATTATCTTAATAGCTGTAACAGCCTATTCTCTCTCATGTAGTTACACAAGAGTAATAACATTAATATAATTACATTTGTAATCAGACTGGAACAGCAGTTGTTTTTGTAGTATGGAATAACTTACATTAAGACATTATTTACACTGTATCTGCCAGCTTTCCTAACATTTAGCCAGCATTTATGTTGTTAGTGCTGTGACACTGTAACCAGTTTCAGCTCCCCCAAAGCAACGTCTATATTACCACTGCATTATTACACAGTACTTACATAACAACTACACAGGAACTTTAACACTGCAATACTGGAAACTTCCTGTGTAGAAGATACACTTGTGTAATTACATGAGGCAAAACTGAAGTTGATACACATGTTTAACTACACAGGCTGTACTTCTGTAATCCATCTGTAATACTGTCCAAATCATCAGTGTTTACATTGTCGCATATGTTATTCATGTGTAACTACACAGTTATTAGAGACAGTAGAGACAATATAAGTGGGACCATGTTTTGTCACAGACTGTGTGAATGAATGTTACCTCGAACTCCCCCTTGGTGTATTTAGCATCAGGAACACTGACGATCTCCTCTTCTCCAAACTCAGGGAACCCCTGCAGAACACGAGAACTTTCATTAGTGTTTCAAATATTCTCGCGGGAAAAAAGCCGAACACTACGGTGTGCAGTTAGTATCATTAGCAATTAACTTCCGTTACGTGGCAACATCAGCATCACAGCTCCAGTGCTAAAACTAAAGAAGCAAATTTCACCGAACTCAGCTGATCATCAGATTTAAGTTCCCTGAGGCTTTAAATATACATTCAACTGGGGGAACAGTACTGTGCAAAAGCCAGAGAGCACCACTCATTTATTTAGAGTTATGCAGTTGTTCAGGAGATTTTTCTGAGAAGATTAGATATAAGATCATCCATGAAGAAAGTCAAAGGACAATAAGAGAAAAGGAAGTTCAAAACATTTTTAAAGCTAAAGAGAAAATGTGGCTCCTAACAACCACCTGGAAGACCTGGTCGACCCCAAAACCGCCCCCATCAGATAAACAGCACTTAAAGCTTTCATCTCTGAGAGAGAGGAGAAAATCAAGCTGCTTCAGATCTGAAAACATCCACAGGTGTTTCTGTCCATCCTTCCACTGTGAGAAGACGACTCAGCGCTGTGGGTCTGAAAGGATGTGTAGCTGTCAAGAAGAACCTCACTGAGAAAAGGAGACGGACACATCAAACAAAGAAGCTGAACGATGGACTGACCACCCCAGAGTCCAGACCTCAACACCACTGAATGTGTTTGATTACTTCAGAAAATGATCAACCAGCTTCTAAGACTGAACTTTGGAGGTGTGTCTGCAGATTCTTTGAGGAACTGAAAGTGAGTCTCCTGAAAAGAATGGAAGCTGGAATAAAGGTGAAGAGTGACTCACTAAATACTAAAATGTTATATTTAGTTTAGATACAGTTCTGTAAAACAGACGCTGAAAAATCTGTATATAATGTCAGTTTTGACTTTTGCACTGTACTGTATGAACCTGTAGCACCAAGGAATGTAGAGGAAACCGATGTTTGTTAAAACGCTTCTGGGGCAAAGAGACCTACGTTAAAATGCCAGAGCGTCAGGGCTGCTACAGTCATGGCTGTGGTGCTCCGGCCTTTTCCGTTAGAACAGTTAAACACGAACGCAGCCCGAGAATCTTCAGCCAGCACACTCTTCATCGCCTCCAGCAAACCGTCAAAGTCCTGAAAACACACATACATGCATATTACAGCATGTCATTACTACTGACATCCTCACATTACTACTGACATACATTACTACTGACATACATTACTACTGACATCCATTACTACTGACATCCTCACATAACTACTGACATACATTACTACTGACATCCTCACATAACTACTGACATACATTACTACTGACATCCTCACATAACTACTGACATACATTACTACTGATATCCTCACATTACTACTGACATCCTCACATAACTACTGACATACATTACTACTGACATCCTCACATTACTACTGACATACATTACTACTGACATCCTCACATTACTACTGACATACATTACTACTGATATCCTCACATTACTACTGACATCCTCACATAACTACTGACATACATTACTACTGATATCCTCACATTACTACTGACATCCTCACATAACTACTGACATACATTACTACTGATATCCTCACATTATTACTGACATCCTCACATTACTACTGACATCCTCACATTACTACTGACATCCTCACATAACTACTGACATCCTCACATAACTACTGACATACATTACTACTGACATCCTCACATAACTACTGACATACATTACTACTGATATCCTCACATTACTACTGACATCCTCACATAACTACTGACATGCATTACTACTGACATCCTCACATAACTACTGACATACATTACTACTGACATCCTCACATTACTACTGACATACATTACTACTGACATACATTACTGCTGATATCCTCACATTATTACTGACATCCTCACATAACTACTGACATACATTACTACTGACATCCTCACATAACTACTGACATGCATTACTACTGACATCCTCACATAACTACTGACATACATTACTACTGACATCCTCACATTACTACTGACATACATTACTACTGACATACATTACTGCTGATATCCTCACATTATTACTGACATCCTCACATAACTACTGACATACATTACTACTGACATCCTCACATAACTACTGACATGCATTACTACTGACATCCTCACATAACTACTGACATACATTACTACTGACATCCTCACATAACTACTGACATACATTACTACTGACATCCTCACATTACTACTGACATACATTACTACTGACATACATTACTGCTGATATCCTCACATTACTACTGACATCCTCACATAACTACTGACATCCTCACATAACTACTGACATACATTACTACTGACATCCTCACATAACTACTGACATACATTACTACTGACATCCTCACATTACTACTGACATACATTACTACTGACATACATTACTGCTGATATCCTCACATTATTACTGACATCCTCACATAACTACTGACATACATTACTACTGACATCCTCACATAACTACTGACATGCATTACTACTGACATCCTCACATAACTACTGACATACATTACTACTGACATCCTCACATTACTACTGACATACATTACTACTGACATACATTACTGCTGATATCCTCACATTACTACTGACATCCTCACATAACTACTGACATCCTCACATAACTACTGACATACATTACTACTGACATCCTCACATAACTACTGACATACATTACTACTGATATCCTCACATTACTACTGACATCCTCACATAACTACTGACATGCATTACTACTGACATCCTCACATAACTACTGACATACATTACTACTGACATCCTCACATTATTACTGACATACATTACTACTGACATACATTACTGCTGATATCCTCACATTATTACTGACATCCTCACATAACTACTGACATACATTACTACTGACATCCTCACATAACTACTGACATACATTACTACTGACATCCTCACATTACTACTGACATACATTACTACTGACATACATTACTGCTGATATCCTCACATTACTACTGACATCCTCACATAACTACTGACATACATTACTACTGATATCCTCACATTAGATACACATTACTATCGACATCCTCATGTTACTGACATACATTACTACTGACATCCTCACATAACTACTGACATCCTCACGTTACTACTGACATCCTCACATTACTACTGATATCCTCACATTACTACTGACATCCTCACATAACTACTGACATACATTACTACTGACATCCTCACATTACTACTGACATCCTCACATTACTACTGACATCCTCACATAACTACTGACATACATTACTACTGAAATGCTCACGTAACTACTGACATCCATTACTACTGACATCCTCACATAACTACTGACATACATTACTACTGATATCCTCACATTAGATACACATTACTATCGACATCCTCATGTTACTGACATACATTACTACTGACATCCTCACATAACTACTGACATCCTCACGTTACTACTGACATCCTCACATTACTACTGATATCCTCACATTACTACTGACATCCTCACATAACTACTGACATACATTACTACTGACATCCTCACATTACTACTGACATCCTCACATTACTACTGACATCCTCACATAACTACTGACATACATTACTACTGACATCCTCACATAACTACTGACATCCTCACATAACTACTGACATACATTACTACTGATATCCTCACATTACTACTGACATCCTCACATAACTACTGACATGCATTACTACTGACATCCTCACATAACTACTGACATACATTACTACTGACATCCTCACATTACTACTGACATACATTACTACTGACATACATTACTGCTGATATCCTCACATTATTACTGACATCCTCACATAACTACTGACATACATTACTACTGACATCCTCACATAACTACTGACATGCATTACTACTGACATCCTCACATAACTACTGACATACATTACTACTGACATCCTCACATTACTACTGACATACATTACTACTGACATACATTACTGCTGATATCCTCACATTACTACTGACATCCTCACATAACTACTGACATCCTCACATAACTACTGACATACATTACTACTGACATCCTCACATAACTACTGACATACATTACTACTGATATCCTCACATTACTACTGACATCCTCACATAACTACTGACATGCATTACTACTGACACTCACATAACTACTGACATACATTACTACTGACATCCTCACATTATTACTGACATACATTACTACTGACATACATTACTGCTGATATCCTCACATTATTACTGACATCCTCACATAACTACTGACATACATTACTACTGAC